CTTTGGCTTACTTACGAAGATACTTGTTGAGAAAATGTTAAAAAATTACCAACAAATTTTAAATTTATTGTAATTACTGCTCTTATTTACTGATAATGCACATGGATGTATATTTAAAAAAAAAATATTGGTACATTTGTATAAAAAAAATACAAAATTCTTTTTAAGATACTGGAGGGGGGCTGAATTGTAGTAAGCTCTTCCATTTATGATTAGTAAATATAATTTTACTTAACAACAATATCACATAACTGCTACAAGTTAATATGAAATTTTATGATTTAAAGCTTTATAAATTATTATAATCAAATATTTTTAAAATGAAAACAATTCATATAAAAATTCAGTCTTCATTGAAAAAAAAAAAAAGAAAAGTTTTTTTTTAAGACAACAGTGTCCAAAATATATTTTATTCATAAAGCAATTAAAACTTACAATCTTTTCTAATTAAATAATTAATTACTAACTGATGTAAACCAAATTTTGGGGAGAAGTGTAAACAGGTAAGCGGATACAAAGTACAGTTGATTATACTAAGGTGCATAGCTTAGTATAATAAATTTTCATTAATTTTTTGGAAAAATTAAAATTTTTATTATTTAACGTACAAAATACTCCCACTATTTTAAAAATAATTTAATGAATAAAAAAATAAATACTTATTTAACATTGTTTTTTTTAATCTTTTCTTTAAGTTTTTATATATACAAGAATCCAGTTCACCCTACATTTGTGAAAACTATAAACAAATCACAAGACCAAACATTCAAAATGTTTGAATTTGGCTTTGAAAAAAAATATTTATGCATGGCCAGTTGTATGTTGCATACTCAAGGGTAAGAAATCCTAAGCATTTATTTTCCACTGTTAAAAAAGAAAAAATAAATTTTCTTAAATATTATTTACCATGAAGTTTAATAAAACTAAATTAAAGAAATTATTAAACCATGAAGGAGGGGTTTTGTCAAAGTATTTTTCCAAACAAGTCAGATTATTCAAATTCTATCGATTACAGTATTTACATTAGTCGGACTATCGTCCTCATCTTTGTCGCCATATTTGTCACGTTTCAGCCGTTGTACGCTCCGGCCTTCTTCAGGTGGTTGGAATTTCGAACTGAACCCTTTATTTCGATCACTGGGGTAGACTGTTCTAGTTCCACGTGCCATGTTTGATGGATGTCAGTTATCAGTTATCTCCTGCTAATTTTCCCTCTGAAAGTTCTCCACTGCCTTAACCAGGAATTGAACTCACCTTCTTTGGGTCTGTCACTGGATCTAACCAACGCCTTTATCCTTGAGGACATCTGGGTATGAACTTCTGAGTATTATAAACCTAATGTTTTCAGCATCATTTTTACCAGTGCTCATATTGTAATTTTTGCTGTTATCATTGCATGTCTTTACTAGAGTTCATATTGCAACTTTGTTATCATTGCTTTTCTCTGGCACTCCTTATTACTGGTTTCCATATTGTATTTATTTCTATGCTTGGTCGGCTCAGGAGATTTTTGTGGCCTAGCATATGTTGTGAAACATTGTGACAAATATGGCGACAAAGATGAGGACGATAGTCCGACTAATGTAAATACTGTACATAATACCTCATCTCAGAAATATAGACAGATTCCATCGATTAGTTTGCAAAATGTGGAGTTTTTAAATCTCAATAAAAAAAATGTTTGCAATAACTTCAACAATACTAAATACTGTGTGGATTCCAACATGCACCAGCATGTTGCAAAAAAAAAAAAAAGATCAAAGTACTTTTTGTTTATTTTTTTTATATCTTTCTTAGCATGTCCAAAATTTTAATTAAAAATTTATTCTTTTGAGTCAGCAAAATTGACATAAAATCAATCATGTAAGCCATTTTTGACAACTTTGTAAACAAAAGAGAAATTCTGTGTTTTTCTACATTTGTATAATTCATTTATACTTTTTCAAAACTTATTTTAGGAAAATTAGAAAATTTAAAGTTTACTTAATGTAATTGAAAAACAAACATTACTTAAGTTTTTAGCAGAAAAAATTTAGTTGAAAATCAGAGAAGCATGTCGAACTGTGATGATTGGTTTTGGAAATGTGAATTGATGTTTACATCAATGTATTGACAACTAACATCAGGGCAATTTATTGGACAGAAGGACAGAAGTGACAGTATTTTTGAATTTTAATTGAACCAGCTTATTTCACTATGAAGTAATTTTTAAAAATTAAATACTTTCAAAAGTCTAATATTTTATTAATTTTTTTGGTTCTTTTTTTTTAAACAAACATATGTCCAAAGCTTGCTTCTTTTTGTCCCTAAGATTGAATCTAAAAAGAAAATAATTAATAATTGCAGTACGTCTCTCACTGAAAAACAATAAATTAATCATATTTAAAAAATGAAATTAAAATATTTAGTGAAATTAGATGTAAAAAAGAAAATTAAAAATTTTAAAAAATGTGACAATAGTCAGTCAGGGAATTTGATACATGCTAGACAGAAGGAAAGCAAAACAATTTCTTAAGGCTTTTCTCTTAAAACATGTGACCTATTATTTCTGAACTGTGCATCCATAGTTTTAAGGAAAAAGTTTTTAATACATTTTTGCATATTAAAGAAATATTTTAAAAATATTATCGTATTGCAGATTGTACAAGCTTTCAAATTTATGATCTGTAAAAATAGATCTTTTTAATAAAAACATTTCCAAAAATACACAAATTCAAACTTAATTTTAAAATATTTAACAAATTTATCACATTTTGTATTTAAAATTGGAAAAAAGAAAACAATTCTTGTAAAAATTCATTTTTCATTAGAAAAATATTTTGACTTCAGACAATAGTGTCTTTAATATATATTATTCATAAAAGCTATTAAAAGTTTGTTTTTTTTTTAAATTAAATAATGTCTTAGTTTTATTGAGTTTTGTATTTTACAATTCATACCTGAATTTTAGGTAATATCAGGTTAAAATTTAATAAAAAAAAAATGATGATTTATTCTAAGTCTTCTGCTTTTAATTAATATAATCACAAAATTACACAGTTTTCATAAAATTAAGCGGGGGGTAACAAATGTAAAACAAAAATTTTTTACCATGACTTTCTAAAAAACAAACATTTCAAACATAATTTCATTCATTTGTAAGTTTTGATAGTTTCACTAAAATCTGACAAGTATTTGATTTTTGCAAGAATTTCCAAATTAATGTGTTTTTCAACTGAAAAAAGGTGCTAAAAACTAATGGGAAATATTAAGCGACTGCTGAGATAAGAAAAAAAAAATATTTTTAACCAAAATTTCTAACGTGCTTGAAAGGATTAAAAGAATTTTTTAAATTATTAAAAAAAATAGTTTGGTCTTTCCTCTTAATAATAACAAACATTTTGATAATAAAACTTTGTTTTTACTAAATTTGGGGCTTTTTTTAATCATGCTATGCTGTTTTTATAGCAAATTATTGCAGATACCTATTTAAATTCAACATCCCTAAAATTAGATTACGAAGAATATTTTCCAATATTTTTTAGACTGAGTACTTGAAAACTATATAAAAAAAGCGCTCATACGTCAATTTCTTAAATTATGTTTTAACAGATAAAGTCTATGTAGAACAATAGTAAAAGTGATATCGCTTGTCAAGTGATCTACGTGTGACAAGTGATAGGCACGTAATCAACGCTACAGTTTATTTAAAAAATCTATTTCTCTGATATTTTAAACTTAAAGTAAATATTTGTTTCAAATTAGATTAATTATACTTTAAATCAGCTAATATTCCTCAAATAAAGTTTCAGAAAAGTATATTTTATTTTTGGAAGATTTTTAAAAACAAGAATTAACTTTTGTTTACAAGTGTGTCAAAAATGGCCGATTTTATGAAAGTGACCAAAAGTTGAGATTCCAATCAATAATTTCTATTTGAAATACACCAGAGTATTTTGCTTACTGGAAATAGTAAATTTAATCATTTAACTTTCAATTAAAAAGCTAAAAAGAAAGCTTCAAGTATGCTTTTTCATTTTTAAAAAATCAATAAAACTTCTTTAGGTTTCGAAAATTTAGTGGAGGTGCCTATTCGGATGCCATGGAATAACTGAAGTGGATTGTAACTGACCTGATCTTTTCGGTTATACAGTGTAACCCGGATATAAGAGGGATTTTCTCTGGTCCCAAATTAGAGCCTGTGTTAACTAAATACCCAGATATAAGGGACTTCTTCTCCGGTCCCGACAACTTTCTTATATCCGGGTTACACTGTAGAAGCTTAAAAATATTCATTTTTATTTAAACATAAACGAAACCAGTTTTTGTATTTCGGTAGTTTTAGTCCTCCGTATTTAATTGAAGCATTTTTTTAATGGTGATCTTACGCCTCTGAACTTGTTGACAAGTGAAATACCTTAGCTAGCACTTGCAGCGATGAAATGTGTTTTTGTTATCTCTAAAACTAAAGTATAAGCTAAGTAATATTTATCAAGATTCTGTTAATTAATTAATCTTTAATTTTACCAATTTGCTTCAGAACAAAGGATATATATAGATTTTTAATAAAATTTTAAAAAATGTTTTAATAAATTTTGTCATGTTTTTACTAAAATGGCGGACTGATGATAAATTGGTCGTGACAATGTTTTATTAAAAATATTTGAAAAGCCTGACTGAAATACGGTAAAATTATTATCCTTTTAAGAAAATAAAACTATTCATATATAATTTTTTATGCTATTATTTTTAAATTCTTTCAAATAAAAAGGAAAGCTCTTTAAATTCTAAACTTTTACTAAAAAAAGAGACATTTAAATTATTTTAAATGTGTTTAAAAGTTTGCTTTTTTTTTTTTACCAAAAGTTTGGCGGTACTTATTTTCACTATCTCTAGAAGAAAAAAAAATTTGATTCAACTTATAATAAACAATTAAAAAGCAGAAGAGAGTCTTACGATGACAAAAAAGAATCCACGACGAAGACTCAAGCAAAATGTCCGAAAGGAAAGATCACGTGATAATGCATAACGTTGCCAAGGTAACGGTGACGTCACGAACACTAATTTGCTTTTTCTTTTTGTTTTCTTTCTTTACTTCCCCGACTTCCTTAGTTTCGGCTTCTAACAACAAATCTTTTTAAAAGAAAGAAATATCATTATTCGACGATTCGTTTGTTAAAAAACAAAAGAAAAGGTAAGTCTAAATGTCAATGTATCGTCATTCTAATATTTATTCTTTCTTTTTTTCGTCTGTTCAACGTTCTTTTCTATCAATCAATCAATCTATCTTCATTATGGATCAGTAACTGATCCATTGTGGTCTTTTATCCCCTCACTCTGAGCCAATGCACTTCAATATTACTATTATTATTTTATTACTAATTTTTATTCTATCTTATTCTTGTTGCTTTTTATCCTAGCCATATGTCCACTTTTTTTTTTTTTTTTTTTTTTTTTTTTACAAAGCAACATTATTGAGATGGAATAAATATAAAACTAAAAATAAAACAATAATAATATTTTTTTTTTATTTTTGTTTTTTACTCTAACACTATGTGGAGATACACTTCTTAAGCACCGGGTACTAGACTGGCAGTTAGGTCTCATCATTTTACAGTTGAAATTGCTAAATGTAGCCATAACTTTTATGCTAACAGTTTCCTCTCTTACACTACTCATATGTGAAACTCTCTTCCAACTTCTTACTTTCCAATCAACTTTCACCTTCAAAAATTTAAATGTATAAAAATTGTATATAATAAAAAAATTTAAAAAAATGTAAATTTATATAAAAATAATTAAAAAGTAAATAAAAAGAATAATACAATACAGGTTTATTCATTGCACTTTCTTCGAACATTTATTAAAAGAAAAAAGTTACTTACGCATATTCTTAAAAATAATGAAGTTAGACAGTAAAAAATGGTTTTAATACAATTAGGTGAGTAAAACCTTGCATATGTGAGACTCAAATTATGTTGTAAAAAAGATGCCAAAGTGTAAAAAATAGATACATCTATAAAATTTGTTTTTCAAAATTTGTAAAACCCACCAAAATAAAGTTTGCAAAGGGGCGTGGTCTAAAGAGATACATTTTGTGATATTTTAACCAATGGGGAAAGTAAGTTATAACCTCATAGTATTGAATTTATGGAAACAGCAACAACAGTAATTGCTGTAGATGTAATAAAAAACATAATTTTATAAAGTCTCCAGCGAGAGGGGAACACTGCAAGAAATGCGGAAAAATGAATCATTTTTCTGTAGCCTGCAGAACTAAATGAGAAAAAGACACATTTCTTTGGAGATATGACAGGAACAAATTTAAATGAACTGTTGTATAAACATTCGTAAAAGAGCAGTGAAATTTAAAATCAATAGAGGAGCTGATATAAACATTATCTCAACTTAAACTGAGAGAAAAACCTGTATTAAAACCAGTAAGTGTCATCTTCATTAGTCCTAGAGGAATAGTTCAATGCACTGGAAAAATCAAATCCGTGACAGAAGATATTAAAGACAAATATGATATGATTTTCCAAATCAGAGACTGACTTTTGATAGGACGACAGAATAAAGAACTACCTGAAAGATTACAATTAATTTCTGACTTGAAACTAGAGAAAGCTACGGAGATGGCCAGGAACAGTGAGCAAATAAAATCTCAATTGAAAGAAATCCATAAGAAAAATGTAGACCCAGAGAAACTCACAAAATACAGCAAAAAGAAAAAGTGTTGAGAACATCTACAACAATTGCAGTAGATTTAACAGAAAACGTGTTTTTAAAAACTAGCCAGCAAGAAATATCGGAAAATGAAATCATTTCACCATAGAAACTAAAACTAATACAATACAGATACTAAATGAAGAAAAGAAATATTTACTTTTGTAAATATCAGCTCTGAAATTCAAAGATGTCAGAATTACGGAAAAATATTCAAGGAGTCGAAACAATTATTGACCTTGATCTAATCTATGGCAGAACTATAGAAGAACATGAAAAAAGACTAAAAACTGTTCTCAAGACATTACAAAAAACCAGACTCAAGCTTAATAAAGAAAAGTATGAATTCAAAAACACTAAAATAATTTAGTTACATAATTTCTGAAAGTGGAATTTAACTAAGCAAGGAAAGACTAAAAACCTTTCAGGAGTTACCTGCACCTACAAATTTAAGTAAACTACATCATATAGTCATCACAGTCAGATACTTAGATAAATTCTTACCAAACTTGTCTGAAATAATACAACTAATGATGGAATTATTAAAAAGGACACTGTATAGTTGTGGGATTACCCACAAGAAAATTCTTTTAAAAGAGTAAAAGAAAATACTAACTCAAGCACCAATTCTGACCCAACCAGACTTACATTAGTTTGTGCTGACACTAGCAGTTATGGTATTAGAGCAGCTCTATTTCAAGAAATAGGTATTAATTTAAAAATAACAGCATTTGCTTCACGCACACTCAATAGTGCTGATACGCATGGAGTTTTTGAGCTGTGTATGGGTATTGGAGAAGTCTGATATGTCACAGGATTTGAATCCTTTAAACTGTTCTTAACTAACCATAAACCATTAATAAACACACATGATCTGTATAATAGCCCATTACAATGTCAAAGACTTCAATGAGAAGATGTAACCCAGTAGCAGAACACGTTCTTGGGAAGGCTCTAGTTGTACCTGATACACGATGAAGAATCTGTCTATATTTCTGAGATGGGGTATTATGTACATTATTTACATTATTCGGACTAATGTCCTCATCTTTGTCGCCATATTTATCACAATGTAGTAGATAACTGACATCCATCAAACATGGCACGTGGAACTAGAACAGTCTACTCCAGTGAGCGAAATAAAGGGTTCAGTTCGACATTCCAACCACCTGAAGAAGGCCGGAGCGTACAACGGCCGAAATGTTGTGATAAATATGAAGACAAAGATGAGGACAATAGTCCGAATAATGTAAATAATGCACTATGAAGAAGTTATTTATCCAACACTGATAGTAATACCAGCAAAGATGTTGGCATATAAACAGACTGTGTGGCAAGAACCAAATCATCATTGGATAAGAAATTAAATTAAATAAAAATAGCTACTAAACAGGATACAGCATTACAGGGACAATACATACACCCAAATATTATTTGATTTCACGTAATGAGTTATTGTCCTTTGACTGTAACCAAAATAAACTTTGAATTATAATTATTTAATTTGTAATTTGAAAAAGTTAGAAATAAATTAATAAAAAAAATAAATTACTTTAGGAAGGGAATCTTTTATAACAACACCAATAATGTTGATTATGATGATGATTGTAAGCCCTTCCGGTTTCACTAGGGAATGCTGGGAGCAAACAGGTCAAATGGGTGTTTGAATAAAATAGTTGTTGAGTTTAGCACATCTTGTATCATCTTTGTGTTGCTTCAACTTTTCCTCAGCCGGTCTCATATAATTTATCTTTCCTCCCTAAACCCAGTAGAACAGTAAGTTCTATGCTGTTTTCTTTTCTTGCACTACTCACTTGTGGAACCCTGTTCTAGCCTTCTTCTTTCCAGTCAACTTTCATCTTCAAAAATTTAAATGTATAAAAATATATATAATAAAAAAAAGAAATGTAAAATTATATAAAAATAATTAAAGGATAATTAAAAAAATAATACAATACAGGTTTATTCATTGCACTTTCTTTGAAGAGAGTGTTTAAAAAACATTTATTAAAAGAAAAACATTACTAACGTATTCTTCAAATAAAAAAATGGTATAATGAAATGAGACAGTAAAAAATGGTTTGAATAAAATTTGGTGAGTAAAACCTTGCACATGTGAGACTCAAATTAATGTTGTAAAAAAGATGCCAAAATGTAACCTGATTGTTTATAAAAAAAAAAAGAGATACATCTATAAAATTTCTTTTTCAAAACTTGTAAAACAAGAGGCTCAAGTCTGATGGTCTGAAAACCTACCAAAATAAAGTTTGCAAACAAGCGTGGTCTAAAGAGATACATTTTGTGATATTTTAACCAATGGAGAAAATAAGTTATGACCTCATAGTACTGAATTTCTGATTCAATCTGGAACTGATTTGTGGCTATTTAAGATGTCTTATTTGTCTGACAGTAGGATTTTGGCATTCACAAGGATGATGTCAGTTTATTCTGGCATTTGAACAAAAGAAAAACTTAAAGCCACTGATGACAACTATGAAAAAAATGAAGCTTAAAGAAAAAGTTCTCTGTATTAAGCTCTTCCAAAAGGTGTGGTTGGTTCTGTACAAGCATATGTATGGTTAATCTGTCTGTTGGCTCTAAGAACCAATCTGCTTGACACTCATATGTTTAAAATGATGGGAGAATCCAATATATATTTATATAAAACAGTTTATACAATTTTTTGTTTAGAATTAATATAAATATTTATATTGACATTTTTTAGCAAAATTACAAGAAGCAAAAATTTGTATTGGGCTTATGAAATTTTAATGCACCATCATGACTGCCACAAGGCAATATTTGGCAGTGCCAGCCAAGATGCCACAAGAATGGTAAGTTTTTAAAAATTATTTTTTCTTTTTGGGATGTCAAAAAGTGGAATTATTAAACAAATAAAGTAAAACTTTAATTCACTATAACATATACAATATAGTGTGTGTGTATATATATATATATATATATATATATATATATATATATATATATAAAAGTCTCAAGACAAGTACTTAGAAAGTTTGAAGTTTGAAACAGTCTATTCCGATGTTGAGGTAATTATTGGATATTTGCTGTAAAGAATACATCTGCTCTGTTAAAATAAAAATATTGAGCTCTCTGTGGATCAGTTTTAATAATTATTATTACTAAGATCCACCCGGATTATATACCAACAGATCAATTACCTATATATATCTATATATATATATATATATATATATATATATATATATTGTGTATTTGGGCAGCAGTCCCTCTTTCATACATGTTTTGTTAAAGACAACCAACAAGTGTTGGCTTTTTCTTTTTTATTATTAGGGCTTCCATTATTTTTAATCTTTTTTTATACATGGATGAGGTTATTATGCTTATATTTTGGACAGTTTTTTTCACATTTTGTGTCCAGAAAAGAAAACAATTGTATGTACACAAGAATATATATATATATATATATATATATATATATATAAAAGGTTAATGGTCAGAGTTGAATCAAAGTAGGAAACAGTAGTATTAAATGTGCTCAATACACAGGATAAAAAATAAAATAAAAATGACATGTAGAGCTTTTAACATTTTTCAGTTTTTAAAAGTATATATATATATATATATATATATATATATATATATATATATATATATATATATATATATATATATATATATATATATATATATATATATATATATATATATATATATATATATATATATAGTGGAGTAGTGGATAGTGGTTTGGATTAAGGAACCGGAGAGCCGAGTTCAAATTCCAGTTGAATCCATTACATTCACTTACATGTGAATACCCTTGGGAAAGGTATGAGTCCTCTTCTTCTCCCTCCAGCTATGGGTGAATAACAGGACAGACTGGGTTTCATAGCCTTGGACAGCAACAGGTCTAGGAGAAGGAAAATTCTTAATTCAAAACCTGCGGAGGGTCATTTGGGGACCTTTGGCACGTTGGTTGGTTGGTTGGTTGGTTGGTTGGGTTTTATGGCATATCAACCACTGTGGATCATGCCAAATTAAGGTATATATATATATACACACACACACATACATACATACATATATATATATATATATATATATATATATATATATATATACACACATACATACACATATACCTATACATATATTAAATATACAGTACTGTCAAACATATAGCTGGCAACATTGTTCTTTCCAAAAAACATATAGCTGGCAACATTATTTTTTCAAAAACATATAGCTGGCAACATTATTTTTACCAAAAAACGTATAGCTGGCAACATTATTGTTTCAAAAATGCATAGCTGGCAACATTGTTTCAAAAACACATACCTGGCAACATTATTTTTCCGAAAACATTATCTGAAGCCTTGTTGTTGGACGTAGTTTATCGCCATACCCAGGACGCGGATGTAGTTTATTGTCATACCCAGGACGCTTTGGCACGTAGTGCACCAGGTCTCTGTATCCGGCATTTCAAAAAGTGTGGTTGGTTCCGCACAAAGCCTTCACCACTATAATCAAATCATATGCGCTGGTGTCTGGCTGTTGGGTTCTAGGAACTGAGCTGCTTGACCCTCATACGTCAAATATGATAGGAATGTCCACCATCACCACTATATATATATATATATATATATATATATATATATATATATATATATATATGTATGTATGTATGTATGTATATATGTGTGTGTATCCAAACAAGTTTGATTACAAAGAACCATCAAGGTTTGTCTGTTTAATTTTTTACTATTTATTAACTTATTTTATATTTTTATTTCCAATGCAAGGAAAGATTCAAAACTCTAGAAGCCATTATTATACAAAATAAAGAGACCATATTAAATATATCATTCACCAAAGAAGAAGGTATCTTCAAGTGCATATGATATAATTATATTATTATTATTACATATTATTATTATATTATTATAATTAATGGATGTACATATTATGTTAGTATTATAAATATAAAATAAAAAATATAGATAAGTCGCATTCTTTTTTTGTGATAGCCTCATTCTGAATAGCCGTTACACATAACATCACGCAAGACCATTTCAAATGTCCAGCTCCCCAACGAAAAGCAGGATACAAACTGATATGTCTCGGAAAGGGATATATTTGTTCAAAGTAGCAGAGTGGTTTTGGACTACTGTAACCGGCTAGGACAATCTAACAGGTAACCGTAATGGACTGGTCCTCATCGTAGGCAATAGGCGAAGACAATAGGCGTAGCCAATAGGCATCCTGCTATACCTCCACATCAGTCTGTATTTATGGCTGACACCAGCCAATCATATTACTGTGAGGGGTAACCAAGTGTATACATATTCATTACATCACAGACAAAGAAAGTCTGACTACCACACAGACAACACATCGGTTCTTGATAATGACTGCATAAATCGGAAGTACTTGAACAAAAATATCAAAATATAAAATTCAAACAGTTTATCCACAACACCTTATCAGAAAATTGGAAAAATATAAAAGATTAAACAGGCAAACTTTGGCGGTTTAACCTTGTTGGTTGAATACTTGCTAACTGAATATACCTTATGTGTGTATATATATATATGTGTATATATATATATATATATATATATGTATATATATGCATTGGAAAATTATTTTTATAATAATAATGAATTGTAAAATGATTTTTACTATAGGAATCCATTTGAAAATGATTTTTACTATAGTAATCCATTTGAAAATGATTTTTAATATAGGAATTCATTGGGAAATGATTTTTACTATAGGAATGCATTGGAAAATGATTTTTACTATGGGAATGCATTGCAAAATGATTTTTACTATAGGAATGCATTGGAAAATGATTTTTGATATAGGAATGCATTGGAAAATGATTTTTACTATAGGAATGCATGGAAAAATGATTTTTACTATAGGAATGCATTGGGAAATGATTTTTTTTTTAATGGTAATAAATTTGAATTATGCATGAAAAACTATGTTATTAAGGAAAAATGGAAAAATAAAAAAAAATCCATCATGCTTCTGGGACACAAACATTTTTTGACAAGTTCACACCTTAGCTATGATGATGACTTATCAATCTGTGACATGATCAACCCGGGGTGAGTCTAATGATCAACAGTACCAGTTGTGACATCTTCTAGATCAGTCCTTGGTCATGGCAATCAGTGTGACCATCGTCTATTCGTCTCTGCCATCCAAGATGCTTGATGCCCATGGCTAGTCATTGAAGTGACTGCTTCAATCAAGGTTATGCCCTACCCCACATTATGAATTAAGATCGTAGAGTGGCCAAGATTGAATCGTTGTCAGAGATCCTTGCACTGCCTGGTCAAAACAGGGTGAAGACACATGAAAAAATAAAAAAGATAATGACACCCAGATAATAAAAATAATGTCTGATTTTATATCAATTCTTGGCACTAAAGCTAGTTCAAAATATAAGTGCTTACATTCATTCAGTTTCTCGTCCCAACCCACTTCTAGATGGAAGTAACACTTTGGTGAATTTGTAGCAATGTTAGGGTGACCAGTTTGGTCAAGTGTGGCATAAGGCTGTCATCAGCAGGCAATCACGTGGATCAGCAAGCTTTTAAGCAATACCTCACAAACTCCCTGGTGAACTGTGTTTAACTGTCTGTGGGCATTCATATTTATGGACTCTGACCCAAAACTGGAATGGGGCAACATGCAGTTTGGGGTTTAGGTGAAACCCCTAATTTCCATCAAGAGTCCTTTGTCGTCTGGCCCCGGAAAATTAATTACTTCCCATTTTTGGGGAGATCCCCTCTTCCATGAGGAGTGGTTGCAGGATATAGATCCACCCAAACTCTTTCCTCCTCTCATTGGAATCTCATACTAACACCTTGCAAGGGGCATTAGTAGTTTCTCAATGTTTCACCTGTGCCTATCACTACTGCTACCACCCAACCAATGGATTCCTGATTGCTTTGGCATGCCTTAATTCATGTCCATTAATTAAAAGAATTTATCATTTTGAAATTTGCTTATGCAAAGCTTTTCTGTTTTCCCAAGGAAAAACATTGTCAACTGCCACGTGGCCTCTGTTAATCGGCCATCTTCGAACTTAATCAGGGGTCGATAGAAAGATATAAAGAACCTTTGTTCTCAATTTCCTGGCCTTCAAACCATATCTTCTAGTACTTTTATTGACTATCATCAATTAAATGTCATGGACCACCATATTGCCTTTCCACAAAACCAAGAATCTCATTCTCAATTCATATTTCTTGCTGATCTGTTTTCTACTGTGTTTTGATAACCAGCACTTTTAATGACCATCATCCATCAATTGTCAAAGATTGCCTTTATGAAATATTACTGCTTATGTAATTATTCATTTCTTGAGAAACATAGACCTTTTGGAAAAATAAAATCTTCAATTTTTTCTCATGGTATTGATCAGTCTATCCATCATTTTAGCGATTAAACCTTTTTTATCGTTGCCCTCGCTAAATATGTCACAATCCTTGCTGTGTTATTTAATGTTGAATGTAAATCTCATAGGACAAAAATCACAATGAATTAATGAATAGGTAAACATCGATCTAGTTTACATTAGAATTAAAAAGGTAGAGATAATTCTGTTTTGCACTGAAGTCAAAAATTTGGACATAGGTCAGGTTTATATTTGGGTAAAAAAGATAGATATAGGTCTGACTAATATTAGAGTTAGAAAGGTAGACAAAGATCTGGTTTATACTAATAGCAAAAAGGTAAATTAGGTCTAATTTACACTAAATTCAAAAGGGTAGATATAGGTCTTGTCAAAATAGTAGACAAAGACCAGATATATACTAGAATCAAATAGGTAGACACAGCTCAAGTTTGGACTACAGTAAAAATGGTAGACATAGGTTTGATTTGCACTAGCGTAAAAAAGATAGACATTGGTCAGGTTTATATTTGAATTGTCTGAAAAGCTTAATTATGGTAGATACTAAAGCTGAGCTATGAATGTCAACTGTTTTTTTTTTTTACAGTAAAGTTCACCCTGTACAATGTCCAGGGGCCACCCAAGGTAGAGGGTTACATTAAAGGGCAGTCTATACAAATTAGATGGGAAGATAACAATTAACTCTAGACTTGAACAGGTTAAAATTGTATTGATCAAGGAAATATTGTCTTGGGAGTCTAATCCACAGAGCAGTAGTTTGTAGGAAGAAGCTGTTCAAGTGGAACTTACTTCTCACCAATGGAATATGGAAGAAATATGAGTGCTTTGCTAATATGTAAGTGGCAAGCCAGGTCCTAGCCATAAGGGTTAGACCTGGTGGAACCAAAGAATGAATTTCGTCCAAGCACTTTCCATGGAAGTAGTGATAGAGCAGTGAGTGGCTCACCATATCTAACCTGTAAGAGAGGTTAGAGAGGGTGAAAAATAATTTGTTACCCACAAGGACTCAGAGACACTTTTGAACTCTATCAAGACTTGAAAGTAAGGACTGGGCAAATATGACAACAGTCCTCCATTTTTGGACTGATCTGACTGTTGTAAAGAGAGAGAGAGGATAGCATGAGGAGTCACGTAAATACTGGAGCATTACAGGGAGGGGAGCTGACCATACTACCTACATCTTTAGCGATGGATCTTACATAAGAGTTCCACTTGAGGTTATGTATGATTTTGAGGCCCAATAGTCTCTTGAGGCATGGTACCTTCTCGAGGGGACATTTGTCATCGAGACTAGCAGTAGTTTGGGGTCCAATTGGTGGTGATGAAACGTAGCTATGTTGGTTTTCAAGGTATTAAATGTAACCAGCCAGTTTTTTCCCCCGACTGGGAAGTTATTACTAAAATCAGAAGAGAAGTCAATTGCCAATCTATGATCGTAAAGAAGTTTAGAGGTGCATCCATATATTGTTGTATCATCAGCATAGATGTTTACAAATGATCTGAGTATATTCTAGGCAGATCATTTATGTAAATCAAAAAGAGGGTTGGTTTGAGAAATGTTATAGATAAGCGTATGGTTGCAAGAAAGAAATACGACAACAGCAGAAATATATTTACATGATTTATTTCAATAGGAACATGTGGGTTTGGGACAACTACCTTGTGGTATAGTTCATAAGCCGGCTGTCAATCTGCGTTGATCTCTCATAGGAGTTCTCAATGGTTGGCGTGGTGCTCCTCCTGCTGCTGACTGCCCAGACTGACCGTGACGCATCTCTTCCCTTGCCTCCTGTTGACTGCTAGTACTTCCCTGTGTGACCCCTTTTATGACGTTTTTTATGGCTTAACAGGCTCGAAAAACGATGCGAGTATAATTATTTTTATTTTTAGAAAAATAGAAACACTTTAAAATATTATTTTATTTTTCGACCTGAACTCGTGCGTCGGGCTTATGCGTAGACGACGATAATGGTCATTTTGTGACGGGGCCTTGTCCCGTTCACATCCGGCTCTCGCTCTTGAGTATGTTAGTTTATTTGCCCGCAAATCAGCCGAGATATGTCTTATTTTATTTTATAACAGAAATGACCCCTGCATTAACTACCAGGGCTCTGAATGACTGACTGTTAATAACTACCTTCAGGGATCAACCTGTTAGGAAGAATTTTATAATTGAGAAGGCCTTTGACATATCTAATGCTATGGTCATTAAGGTGTGTTTGTTGTTAAGAGCCTCACTAATTCTGTGTGTAATGGTAGTTAGGATGTCAACAGTAGATTGGACCAATCAAAACCCGTATTGCATGTCACACAAGCGATTGTTCCTGTCTAGGTGCTCAATGACCTTGTTTTTGATTATAGCTTCAAAACACCTACTAATTCTGTGTGTAATGGTAGTTAGGATGTCAACAGTAGATTGGACCAATCAAAACCCGTATTGCATGTCACACAAGCGATTGTTCCTGTCTAGGTGCTCAATGACCTTGTTTTTGATTATAGCTTCAAAACACCTACTAATTCTGTGTGTAATGGTAGTTAGGATGTCAACAGTAGATTGGACCAATCAAAACCCAGTATTGCATGTCACACAAGCGATTGTTCCTGTCTAGGTGCTCAATGACCTTGTTTTTGATTATAGCTTCAAAACACCTACTAATTCTGTGTGTAATGGTAGTTAGGATGTCAACAGTAGATTGGACCAATCAAAACCCGTATTGCATGTCACACAAGCGATTGTTCCTGTCTAGGTGCTCAATGACCTTGTTTTTGATTATAGCTTCAAAACACCTACTGATGATACTGAGGAGACAGATGGGTCTATACTGGGAGGAGGACAATCACTCGCCTGTGTTCTTGAAAACCAGGCATTTACTCCTTCTACAGAGTTGGGAAGGATTTCTTCTTCAAACAACAGTTGAATAACTGCTCGGACAGAGGATAATTCCAGGTTTATATTCTTTAGGACAACCACTGGAATTTTGCCTGGGCCAATGGCTATCTTAGGGCCAAGGCTTTTGATAAGTCTAGAGACTTCTTATGATGAAATGAAGATATTTCTGAGATTGTACTCAGTGATATGTTGGAAGTTGGGAAGAGGATGGCCTTTGTCAATTAACATTGAGTTTGATGCAAAGTGCTTTGCTTTGTCTGTCAAGGAAGATATGACCTCAGGGCCATTTACCAGAACTTGCAAGATCCAAGTTGTTTCTTTTCAATCTTGACCTGGGCAGCTTGATCGAAGTTGTTTCTTTTCAATCTTGACCTGGGCAGCTTGATCAAAGTTGTTTCTTTTCAATCTTGACCTGGGCAGCTTGTACACGGCTGCACTTAGCATTTTCAAAAACTTTCTTGTAGCGATTGTGGGCGGTTCTGAAAGCAGAATATGTATATGTAGGTAGAAAAAAGCAAAATGTTGATTGTGGCGGTTCTGAAAGCAAAAAAGCAGACTAGTCCTTCCAATAGATATTGATATTGTTTTGAGCATTAAAGTATTTATTTGGATACATTTATGTCTATATACTTTTTCTTCATTTTGTAATATTACAGGCAGCCAGATCTTCATAATTGGAATCCATACACTTGCAGCTATGCAGATGTGGCTAAGGTAAAGACTCTTTAAAATTCTTTTCTATCTTTACAACCAAGCTTTTATTCAACATTTTATTGATCAGTTATCACCCTTTGCTTAGTGAACATAAAAAAAAAATAATTTAATAAAGAAAGATAATGAATCCAAATTTCAAGTAAATCATTTCTTACCTGCAGCTTAATTCAAATTTTAATCTATAATGAGCTGATGATTTTTCATCCAATAAAAATTCCTTTTACACTTTATTTGCCAGGATTAATTCTCATATGACTACTCTCCTTTCTATATCCATCCATGCTTACACTATTGCTGCCAAATATGGTCTGGTGCTCCTGCTATATATTTAGTGATCTTTGATAAACTCCAAAGAAGAATCTGCAATGTTATTGGTCCTGACCTGGCATCTCAGCTTCAGTCACTTTCCCACTGCCATAATATAGTTTCCCTTTGCCTTTTCTATAAATACTTTCACAGTAAACTCTCCTCTATGGTACCTAGATTCTATGAATTTAAGCACAGTACTACAGTGGTAGCAAATTCTCATCATTTTACAGTCAAAATGGCTAGATATAACTGTGAGTTTGATGCTAACAGTTTCTTTTATCACAATTCTTGCTTGTGGAACTGTCTTCCGGCATCTTGCTTTACATTCAAATTTGATCTTCAAAAATTTAAATGCAAAGACATTGGTTATTTTCTGTTCTCTTAAATTCTGTTCTTTTATTATTCTTGCTCCATAATAATGTTTTTCTTATATTCTTTTGCACTCAGTAACCTACTGCGTGTTAGTGCCTTGCTTGGGGTGAAATGATTAAAAAATAATTCAGTGCATACAAAGATTTTTCACTTTCTTCTCCTGGCCAGGGCACTCACCCTGAACTCTCCAACTGGTCGGGGAGCTTGATAAGGGGTCTTGGGCAGTGCTTGTGACCCTTGCTATCTTATCAACATTTGGTTTTTCCTACCTATATTTACATATACTTGACAAATTAAATGAAACACAACTGACTATTAAAGGATGACAAAATTTTGCAGATTTTAACATCATTCTGGGTTCCTTTTTTGGTCCATATCCATGAATTTGTTTTATTAAAAAAAAAACACTATTTTTTGTCCATAATCTTCAATGTGATAAAATAAATAAACTTTTAAACAAGAAAAATCTCAAGTTGATGTTAAAAATTGCCGCAAAACATTGTTGATTTATTTAAGATGGAATGATCTATTATGACATGTCTCTAATTTGTATTTAGATACATTATATTTATTTTCAATTTTTCTAATTGTTCACCTATATTGCATATGATCCATTATTGTACATAATTAGGTTACAATAAAACTTGTATTTTATATGAATACTACCTTGTGAAAATTGAGATGTAGTCAGAGACGGTGGGGCCCGTATTATAGATTCAGGAGGGGTATATTATAGATTCAGTGGGGGCATGAAACCCTTCCACCAGCTCTGGGTATTTGCAATCATTTAGTAAATTTTGAATAATACTGAAGAACAAACTATTACTTGGAAAATTAACATACTTCTTACTACATTACAACAGCAATAGAACAATTTTACCTAAAGCTAAGTACCAAAGAATTGTTTGGTGAAAAAATGTACTGGTGAGAAAAAAACAATGATGCAAGAGATGCTGTTGAATGTAGACAGACAATAACAAGCAATAATTCTCTTAGATTAGCTGCCAACCAAGGCAAGAGAGCCAATCTACCCTACTATTTAATCGATAGATTGAGAAGATGGATTTTTGCTTTTACTAAGTGAATTAACTTAAAAAAAAATCAGCAGGAATTTGAATTTGATTGATTTCACTTTCCATGTTGATAACCATTACACCTAATAATGGCATCCCAAATTTCCAGGCATCGGTTCTATAAAGGCAGGTAATCTTTAGGAACCTATTCTACTAATTTTCTTTTAAATCTGAGAATGAAAACAAATCACAAAGAATTAAATTTGATAATTTAATAGAAAACATTTATTTATTAAAAAGATATTTCCAGATTTAAATGCTGTTCTCATCATATTTCTGTTCAGAAGTATGATGCTTTTCGACTCTAGTGTCATCAGCTGTATTATGCAAAAAATTTGAATAAAAAGCTTAATCACAGTACCTTGTCAGTCGTTTTTAATGAAATTTCTCTGTGGCTGAATGGTCATAGCACATCAGGCTTAATGACAGTTTTGTACATTATATATACATACACACACACACACAGAGAAGAAAGTGGATGGAAAGTTCTCCATGTGTATGTGTGCGCACATATATATTTAGTTATATATTGTGTGTGTATAAAATTTAATTTATATTGTATGTATACATATAGTTTAACATTTGCTATATTTTTGCTATAGAGGGATGTGTCCTCAGTATTGGATATATTGTTTATAGATAAAGATAGTGTCTACATAGTAATCAACACTGCATGATGACTGTCACTTTACTATGCCCTAACTCTCCCACTCTTTATATATATATATATATATATATATATATATTCAAATCCAAAATTAAACTGCAATTTATTTAAATACTTAGCAACAATAATTATACCTGGTAACAATAAAATATCCCATAATAACCAGAACAAACAGTGTTATTTGCAAATAGTATGAAACTCTGAGTTGTGCAAATATAGTTTTAATGTAGGATATGTTTCAGTTTTTTGGGTATGTGAGTACTAGTGAGCTAGCCTAAATGAGCTGACTCATTTTATAGTTCACCAATAGAAGGGTTAACCAATCAGAAAGCTCAAAATATTCAATGCGACGTGTATAAAGGCAGCCATTTTTTTTTCTCCCAAATTGCCTGCACTGCCAACCTGATATCGAAGACTTAAAGAATTACTTAACAGCCACTACTTTCTCTGAATCTTCACTGCCAACCTCTGATATTGAACAGATTACGGACTTCACTGGATTCCATATTCAGAGACTACGGCAAACATGGTCAACAGAATACAGTTAGGGACAAGGTTTTTCAATGTATAAATATAAAAGCAGACACTGAGGTCAACACCAAGTAACGATCACCTGTTTCATACTTGAATGCAATCTTCAGACTATGAGTGTTGTGTTTTGGTTTGACTATTTATTTATGCTAGCCAATGGTCTATTGTATTATCCTAATGATTACTGAGTAGGCAGTAATGGTTATGTTTCAAATTAGGCTAGAGACTATTGAGTAGGAATAATTGTATATATATATATATATATATATATATATATATATAAAGTTTTGTTAAAAATGATTGACAAGGTACTGCAGTTAAGTTTACATTTAATTTTTTTTGTTCTTAAATTTTTTTACTTTTCTGGACATAAAGAATAGCTGTTAGCTCTCGGACATACAGAACAATTGCTCAATT